AGAAAGAAATGCCGATCTAAATCATTTAGAAAAGTTATTACCTGAATCAAAGTTTTCAAATCATTCACGTATTCCTCAAGTAATAAAATAGATAGATTGTGAGATGAACTAGATTGGAGTGAGCGCTTTAATGACAATGTAATAAACAAAATGAATGTACATGCTTATATTTTTTAAATAAAATGAGATAACATAAAATTACAAAATACTCCTTTTTCATTAATATTATCATACATAAAAAATAAACCTATTGTATAAATAAAGTAAAAGGATGGAGGTTTGTAGATAGATAGTAATAGTTTTTTATATTGTTCATTGGTTAGGTTATTAATCTAATATGGAAGTATGTGTATTCTTTACACCATCTAAATTCCATCATTTCCTTTTCCCACTTTTACGAATTTCATTTTATCCTATCCTTCATAACCTTGAACGCCTTGGTTGCAGCGATCTCGTCTTTCATCTGTATCATATAAATTATCGTTGTACCGCCATACGATGCAGGTATATTGTTTATTGTGATTGCAATTCCAGTCTTGCCCACTTTTTCAACGCCCGCCTCACAAATAATTGCATCCACCATCTTTGATTTCTGCTTATCGGTCATAATCATTATTCTCTTTTGATTCGACGGCACTTCCAGCAACACTTTCACCGTTCCCCATCCAAAGTTTGTCCACATTGCATGATCATTTTTCAAAAATACTCGACATCTTGATTCGATCAATCTTATTGGGTCTGATTCAATTTCTCTAGGGAGGCCGTTATCACGCGTTTGCAATGAAGAAGTACGTGGCGCAAATTCGGTCTCTACTTTAGGTGACAGGGATGATGGTGCGTTCAACTCTGTGACATTATTTTCGGGTCTGGTCAAGTATGTGAAGAGTTTATCTGCTTCAAACGAAGTCGATAGATTTATATAATAATAGTCTCTTCTTTGGCCCATCTCGCAGGTAATAGTTATGGCGCACGGTGAATCTCGATGCACGTGTACCGATTGATCAATAAGTAGTTGAAGCACGATCATCTGATAATTCTCTAACACAACCACCATGTAATATCTCTTGTCCATCGTTAACCTTATCTCGATATAACAATTATCTTGGGCGTTCAACGGTCTCCATTCATCTGCCCAGGTCGAAACATTGCAAAGCGATGTTTGAAACAGTGTTTCCGCAAACGGTTCTATACTTGGCTCTGGTTCTCGTGATATACTCGATTCTGGGAGAAATTGGGGATAATCAGGTGATATTGGTGTTTTGGGTTGAGACCATTGGTGTTGATCATTGGAAAAGTTTCCGCTCGTCGGACTCTTTTTCTCCACATCTGATAACGCCTGATTTACTTCGTGATGATTGTCTCCTTGATTTACAAGATCCTCCTTCGGTTTCGTTGGGGATCTTACGAGAGCTATTAATTTGGATATAAATCGCGAATATATTGAGCATATGACCAAAATTTCCATTGTCTATGGTTAATAATAAACGTTTAAATTGCACCCTACCACTAATGTTAGAAGTGAATTCTATCATCTCCACTAGTCCGCTTAGCCAAACCTTCTTGAGTCCTTTGTTCTCTGCAAACATCACAAGATCCGTTTTTTTGAATACCGTTATCTGAAACAAATCTTTAATCATTTTTTTGTATTTATTTTTGATAATCATCATTAATTTCCAGCTCAGAATTTTTCTACCAAAATGAATCAATCCTTAATACACTCACCCTCCTTATCGTCGTGCATGTCAAGCACTGATAGATGTCTCCCGCTCATAGGAGGATACAATAGCCAAAATTCCTTTGTAGGGTTCTGCTTTTTCTCCTCCGGACTTAACCTTTGACAAATCAACAGCAAATCACTCAGCAAGAATAAGTGAGCTTTGACGTGAGCTTTGTAGACATGCGGTAGGATTACTATAAAATCATCGTGAAGCTTCAACTCTCGATTGAATGGTAAATGCAGCGGCTGAAGTTCTATTTTTAGGGACTAGAAAAATTTGATAACTGATGAGCAATTGTGAATCTTGGAATTTCAGCGCGAATCGAAAATAGATCAAAAGTTGACGAACTTTTGGTCTCTTGGTGAACAAATCCACGACTCTCGACGTATCCAGAGTAACTTCTAGATCTTGTAAGGTCAATTTCCGTGTTTCTTTGTTTACATTATTCCTTTGATGATCATCATCATTCTCATTCTGCGCTTCGCTCGACTGAATTTCATCACGTGGCCTTATTGCATTCTTTTTGGCTAGTTCTTCCAATTCGAGAAGATTGTCGATGCGCTGATTCGCGTTGGTTAAAATCTCGTAATCTGGTTTTCCGGGTTCTGAACTTTTGTGTATTCGCTTCATCGAAAACCAAGATGGAAGTTTCCGTCAGAAATTTAGTTCACCTCATCTTTCGGATTTATCAAAGGTTGACATTTCATTATTAAAAATATAGAGTCCATGCTTACCGCATACAACTTTTTGTAATAGTAAATTCGTTTTAGAGGTAATTCGAAAAAGTAATCCAATGTCATTGGTCGATTTTTTTCCGCGGTAATAGTCTGAGGGAAAAATTTTTTTTTTTTTGTCAGTTTACTCGCAATCTCAATCCCGACTATATTTATTATTATTATTTTACATTCAAGATTTGTTGCAAAGACGCGTTTCCCTCAATCTCGGGCCAAGAATCAAAGCCTTTCCTGTACTCTTGGTAATATTTCGTGTAGGGTCTCTCCATCTGATCAACCTGAAAAAAAAAAAATAATAATAAATAAAAACCGCCCATTCAGAGATCACATTAATTGAGGGAGAGGTTCCAACAATTTCAACAAGGTCACCTACCCAGACCATTAATATATCTGCAATTTCTTGTGCGGATCGTGGATTTCTTGGATTTACGTCAATCTTGCTCAGGCTCTATGCAAAGTTGTTTTCGGTGTCAGTAAAATTTCTTTTTTAAAATTTAGAGGTAGTCAATCAATATAGATACGTCACTGAGTAAAAATCCTCATTTTCTTTGAAAACATCATTGACCAAACAGAACATTCTGTCCAACTCTGGAGGAGGCGGATTATCATGTGTCCAGCTCGTGGTAGTTTTCTGGAGGAAGAACTTTCGTTAGAAAGAAATGCCGATCTAAATCATTTAGAAAAGTTATTACCTGAATCAAAGTTTTCAAATCATTCACGTATTCCTCTTCTGTTTCTAATAGATCGATGATAGGGTTTACCCTTGGCTTATTATGGTTTGAACTTATGCCTGGGGGGTGAGGTGGCGATTCTGGTGCCGGACGAAAAGATGGTGACTTTGGCGTCATTAAAGGGGATTTCGGTGCTGAATACAAATTGGGTTCATAGGGTATCTGTGACATTCAATTAAAGAAGAAAGCGTTGATATCCCGAAAGCACTATGAAAACTCAAATTTATTGGAAAACTGTATACGTACTGGTTCGATTTTTAAAGACCGATGCATTCTGAATTATTGGTATTAATTAAATAGTAGGGTTAACCTGAAGGAATGTACGAATTTAGTAGAAAAAAATTGAGTTTTTAGAGAACTGAAAAATTATTAATTTGACAAAATGACACTATGTACATTTCATTCCCCTATTCGTAGCAACAATAATATTTGTGAAAGGTGGTATATTTTCCGCATCAAGATTGGAAATATTGGAAACTTGCTCTTCACGTGTATGATATATTTAGCATCTGTTCTCTCGTTGTGTTCGTAACACTGACAGCAATTTCCTCTTGTGGTAGAAACAATCAATATTAAATGACCAATAACTTTTTTGGGATTCAAATTTTAACGTGCACAGTGCGCACACATGCGTGCATTGGTGTGCATGTGCTGCACACCGTCCAAACGAAATCTTTCCGTAAAAATCGTGTGCACAGTACGATTGATTCTCGACTTTTATGTATGTTCCCTCACACATTTGTCCATACCGAATCACGTGAAATATGGAAATTCGAAAGTTTCAATTGGTGCCTTGTAGCAGAGGCATGTTAATGACCACTACGTTTTTTTATTTCCTTAAAGGGCCCGAAACCGTCAGCCTGTGTTTTCCCGGCTCATCTCGATAAGCAGATGCTTATCGTTGATTGAGTTTAATTTATCTGTTCCGTCTCGTTACCATTGCTATTGAGACGAATAATATGCATTAATGTGCACAAGAACACAAAAAAGAAAGAATTTCTGAAAAGTATATAAATATTAAAAAAAGATAAAAATAAATGAGAAAAGAAAGAAGGAATGAAAGGAGTCTGGAAGTAATAATAAAGAAATAACAATAAAACACGGTAAAAAGTCATTGATGATTAATCGTTGCATGTACTATAATAAAAATTGGGCGATTAATTTGTTGTTATTGATTTGTCTATACTTTCTCCTGGGAGCCTACATGGCCGAGACCTCAATATAACTTAAATTGGTTGCATAAGTTGGCTAGTCTTGTCAAAATTTGGTAAAACATCTTTGGAGGAATAGACGTGTGTTAGGTTTATTATGTCCCAAAATTGGTAAAATGTCGCTGTGCTTTTATTTTCTCAATGATGAATTGATCTTGAAAGAAGTTCAACCATATTTTTCAAGGGCTTCCTTAGGATCCAATTTTTTTAATATTCGTAATATCCTAACTTTATTGTTGAAAGAAGTCCAAATATGTTCTTTATTCTTTGATTTTTATTTATTATTAGTTGAATTATAGCATCATATTATTATTATTTTCTTTTTTTTTTTACTGTATATATGTTCTATAAATACATACGGTATATACAGTATATGGGTAATTCTTTTTGAAGGTGACAGAAACGCTAGTTGAATTTTTTGGGGGTAAGGGGTTAAGGCCCGGGATTATTTGTGTCTATTTATATCATGCTTTATTGCATCTGCATAATCATGCATAAACTACAAATATTTTAACTATTTATTGTATTGTGGTTTGATAGTGTTGCGCATGTACCTATAGTATTGCAAAGATTTTGTATTGTCTGATCATGTGACCGACGATCAAATCGTTGCGAATTTAAGCGAAATTAATTATTAATACAACCTTTAAACATTATTTTCTTTAATTCAAAAAATTTCTTTTTTTTTTAATTATACCATACCTTCTTTAAACTTGAGAAAAAATATTTCTACATTACTTCATTCTCATCCTTATTATTTATCTTTTAATTCTTATTCTCCTTCTCAAAAAAATCTTGCTACTTCAATTTTATATGATGTGACTATTCATTTATCAGGAAATAATCCAACTCAACTATACGATTATTTTTTTAACCAATCTAACATTGGAAAAACATTTTTTCCAAATTCAAAACATGCAAAAACAATCAACAATCCTTAATAATCTTAAGATTATGTACACAAATTCTTCTACAAAATATAAATCCAGTCTTTCATCTTTAGTAGCTGGTTTATATAGTAGATCTGAATTAACAAATCTTGCTTTCACTTTAGTAATACACAATTTAATACTTCTTTAAAAAAAGTCAATGATCAATCCTTTTTTTTTATCAAATTATCAAAGACAAATTCCTTCTTTCAAATTTGTTATTAATAAACAAACTATTGAACTTATTCTTAATTCTCTTATACAAAATTCTCATTTATCTATTGTCACATGTTAATCTTTAAAACTTCCTTATTCTCTTGAAAATATTACTACCTCTTTTAATCCCACTTCTATTTATTATTTAGAAAAAACAAAAAAAAACACATTTATTTTGAATTAAAAACTCAAAATCCAACTTTAAAATTAAGCCTTGGTATACTTTACAAATATTGTTCAAAAAACTTCAAAAAAGTACAAAAAAAGACAGATATGTATCCAATATATGTTGAAGGAAAAAAAAACAAAAAAAAATTATCACAAATCAATTCCCTTAATATTTATTTTATTACCCAATTATAAGATCAAATTAATCTTTATTATTAATATCTTTACTTTAAAACAAATCAACATTAACTTTATCAAAATTCTATTAATTCTACAATAACAACTTCTTATATAATAGTTATGGATTTTAAGGAAAATTTTAAACTTAGTGGTGGCCCTTTGAAAATAATAGAAATTTTTATGAAAAAATACAAATTTTACTTTTAGGATTTGCCATTTTTATAAAAATAATAATGGTATAATTCAAACACAATATTTTGATTTTTTTTCCAAAATTTTATTTCATAATTCCTTATTTGTGATTGATAGTACCAATTAACTTCTTTTTAAATCTTTTATGTCACAATTTTAACAATTTTGCTTTTGATCAGATTCTAGTTCTCATTTTAAATTAGCTAAAATAATACATATTATTTTAATCATTTACCAACTCTTTATAACAAAAGATTTTTTCTTAATTTTTTTATTAAATAATATGGAAAATACATTGTTGATAGATACTTTGATGTACTGTCAAGATGATTTTCTGAAGATAAATCTATTCAAAATATTCATACCTTTGAAGAATTGGTTAATTTTTTTAAAAGAAAAATTCAATTCTCTTCTAATAATATTTTATTTAATACTTATTTATTAATCAAAACTCAAAATAATATTCATAAATTAATTATAGATAACTTTTTTTTATATTTATCATTTACAAAATTTAATAATAAATTATATACTTCAATCTTTAATATATTTAATTATGAAAAGTATATAAAAATTTTCTTTAAAATAAAAATAATAAAAAATACAAGAAAATCAAAATATGCATCAACTAGACAATTAACAAATACTACTTCAACAATAATGGATAATAAAAGTAGAGAAAGGTTACTTACTAGAATAGAAAAAATGCACAATTTTCCTATTTTAATGAAAATATAATTTATTAATAATATAAAATAAGACTTAATATTTAGGACTTATGGGTTGATAGTGCAGTAGTTAGCACTTTATAGATCTGATCACAAGATCTGATTTCAATTCCACCTCAATATAAAACTGATCGAGAAATTGAATCAGTCCATTGATATAACTGTAAACTAATCGATATTTCTAAAATATAGCATCTAGTCTATATCTAGATTGTGATCAGATTGTAATCCGAATCAGATAGAATTATCATTGACACAACTGCGCTATCAGGAATAGTAGTAAGAAAAGTAGATCCCTAAACTGGTAGCATGTCTCTCAGAGTCAAAACAAGACTCTTTCAGGGATAGAAATGGCTTAATACAAAGAACTTGTATGCAAAAAGGACTCTTTTAAACTAAGTCAGTCCTGGTCCTCATGCATGTGACTGTGCTGTATTTCACAGATTTGACTATTAGGAGATCTTAATGGAAGGAGAAATCTGCAGATCACTCTGAAGGATCAAAAACTAGGACCCAGGATACTAAATTCGATGGCTTGATAACTAGAATACTCTTAAAAAAATTTGTTCTAGGAATAATTAAGAAGGAATTACACAAGCTTCCAGTTTGTGATTAGACTGGTAGTGGTGGTATATAGTATTAGTATAATATAAATATAGCTATCCATATAGATATGATTTACTATAACATATATGTATAACTACTCACTTATAATAACACAACAGTTTCGATTAATAAAAATTACAAGTTAAGCTCATGGTGCAAAATCTGCAAACAACACAAAGAAACAAATAATCATCTCTTCCAATGTAAAACAACACAAACAAAACTCCAGGAAGAGTATATTCAAGCTCTGATAGAGAAAAGTATAGCAAGAGCAGAAGGTAAACAGATAGAACTGATTCAAAACAAATGGAAAAGAATACCAATAACACAGGAGTACAATGAAAATATCAAAGCATAGTATCAAGTGGAATGGAAAGATATAGTAAGGGGAGTCATAATACATGGTATGATTCAAGTAGTAAAATCTATAACAAAAGATAGAACCAGAGTACTAGATGCAATTAGAGAAGCTTCACATAAATTTTGGCAAACTAAGTGAGAAACATGGAAACTCAGTTGTAATATCACAATTAACTGGGAAAAAACTCAAAATATAGGGAAAAAACTTAAGCATAAGAAGGAACAAACCAAACATAATATAGCCAAGTAACAGAACATACCACAGAATCCAGACTCACCAATAACACAGGCCATCAAATTCTTCGAGTCAGACCCAGAGCCCAAAAGAGACCAAATAGACCTTGAGAAACATCTTAAGGACAGGTTTGGGAAACTATATATATAACTAACAAACATAATAACAGAGAATATTCTAAATAATAGCTACTTTTCTTTCTTTTTCTTTTCAATTAATATTAGTACTAGTGAAGTCTTGACATGTTAGCATCCATCAAGGTGGACTGCAGCAAGTCACAGGGTTTTTAGTATCAGAATACTAAGTTATAGTATTTTTTTCCTTTCATAAATGTATAAACTCACAA